GCTCTGTGGTCTCTGAGTGCTGAGGTCACAGACACAGCCTGCTCTGCTGGCAACATTTGTATCTCTCACATGCGACTTCTCCTTTGTCAGAAATGTTCTCAGAGAGGATTGGGATAACCGGCTTGCTTGCTGATATACCCATTGTCCCTTTATTCGTTGTTCCCTAGCCCATCAAGAATGCACCCCCAGGAAAGAAGTATGTCCGATGCCCCTGTAACTGTCTCCTCATCTGCAAGGTGACTTCCCAGCGGATTGCTTGCCCTCGGCCCTACTGGTAAGAGACATAAGGTGGGAAGGCCGTGCTTGGACAGAACTGTGAAGAAACCACACCAAACCTGAACCTGGGCAAGGTGGAGCATGCTTATAATCAATCGCAGCACTCGGGAGGCGGAGGCTGGAGGATCTGTGGCGCACCTTGAACTCCTAAGTAGTCCTGCCTGCACCTCCCAAGTGCTGGGGTACTGTGTGCCAGCAGACCCAGTTCAAATTGAGAACTTTCTCCCTATGTAGCAAAAGAATCATCAACCTAGGACCTGTGCATCCAGGACCTCTAAGTCCAGAGCCACAGCCAATGGGTGTCAGAGTCATCTGTGGACATTGCAAGAATACGTTTCTGGTGAGGAGGGATATTGGGGAGCCCTTGTGGTGGTGGGGGCGAGTACTGGGAATAGTAATAAATTCTGGAAAAGACTGTCCTAATTCTCATTTGTCACACTTCCCCTTGCCTCAGGGTTCTCATTGAGGAGAACCTTCTTTCTATGGTTGTTTCTCTTTTTCCATAGTGGACAGAATTCACAGACCGAACCTTGGCACGATGCCCTCACTGCAGGAAAGTGTAAGTGGTTAGGCATTGCACTGGTAACTGGGTAACATACGGCGTAATATCAGCAGGGCTGTTCCAAATATCCATTCTGTTGGCTCCCACAGGTCATCTATTGGGCGCAGATATCCTCGGAAGAGGTGTATCTGCTGTTTCTTGCTTGGTTTACTCTTGGCAGTCACTGCCACTGGCCTTGCTGTGAGTAGTCTTGATGCAGACCTCTTATCTGCCTCATCAACAGGCTAAGATCTGAGAAGGAGCTGGGTGTTGGGGTATGTCCTTGATTCCAAGAATAGAGGCAGTCTTAAGGGTGACCGGCTACATAGCAAGGCCCCATCTGTAATACAAACATGGGGAGTAGATTGTTACCGGTCCCAGATGTGGCTTAGCTGCTAAGTGTTGGCCGGGCATGCACGAAGCCCTGGATTTGACCTCAGCACCACATAAACAAGGCGTGATGCAACCGTAGGTCCCAGCACCCAGGAGGATCAGACTTCAAGGTCATTCTCAGCTACAGCTTGGCGGTAAGGTTGGGAAGCATTTTCAGGACAGGTAAACTAAAGTTAAAGGTGACTAATAAACTAAGAAGTCAAAGAAGGAATTCCCACTCTGGAGAGAAAACTGAGTTGTTGTTAGGAGTCCCAGTTCACTCCTTCGATGTGAGGAATAGTGGCAGATGTCTGGGATGGCAGGAGAACTTTCTAAGCCGCCTGACCTTTGGGAAGTGACAGGGAACAGAGACTGTGTCTAAGACTTGAGGCAGTGGCACCCAGAGTAACTTCTCTTCTTCTTCCTCGTCTGTCAGTTTGGCACATGGAAGCACGCACAGCAGTATGGAGGGATCTACGCAGCCTGGGCACTGGTCATTTTGTTGGCTGTTCTGTGTTTGGGCCGGGCCCTCTATTGGGGCTGTATGAAGGTCAGCCATCCTGTCCAGAACTTCTCCTGAGCCCCTTGATCCAGTCTGTGCCTGCTGGCTGCCTGGTAGCAACAGTAACACTACAAAAGGCTCTCTGGACTTCTGCAAGGAAGCCAAGCCGCTGCCTCCCTTTTCCCTGGGGAGAGGTAGGAAGGACCAGTCCCTTACTTAGGTTTGGAAGCGTAGGTAAGACCATTGCTAGCTGTCTGCTTTCTTCCAAGGGTTGCTCTTTAGGGTAAACAGGCAAAACATTGCCCCTACAGCTGGATCCTAACGATGGCTCTAGCCACGTCCTTCCGATGTGTGCTCCCTGAGAACCATTCCTGACCCTTACACATTCCAGGGCAGGGTGGGGTGGGAAGTGTGGGGGTGTCCCCTCCCTCATGTGCACCATTAGGACCTCCCTTGCTGCTATTGCACTTCACCAGGGGCTGGCTCTGGCCTCAACACCCAGTCCCTTCTCCCACATTTCTGGTCCTGTGGGGTGGGGTCAGCCACTGCTCTGTACAGAACTGATGTATATAAACTATTTAATATGGGATGTGGTCCCCTAACCCTGTATTTCCCTGAATTCCTCCTACCGACTTTCCTTACTTACAGTTGCAGCACTTAACTGGGCTGAGGTAGGGTTGCTGTCTCTGGAGAGGTTAGGAATTCATCTGTGCTTGTAAATAAATAATGTCATGACTCTAACCTTTCCCATTTAACAACTGTTGTGTATGAAAAACAAAAAAGGGAGTTTGTAGATTTACAAGGGGAAAACAAAGATAATGAAGTTGAAAGTAGGGCCTTTTTATTTTCACTTGAATTGTTCAAAGGAAGCCAGAAGCTTGGTTCAACATCTAAAACAAGGGGGGGGGGGCACACATACAAAAACAAATCCGGGGCCTAAAGGACACTGCGCTTGAGAGGAGGCTACATCCCAGGCATAAGTCACTGTAGCGGGGTCACAGTGCCAGGTAAAGGGTGATGGGACAGTGGTCACTGCCGAGAGCCTTGGAGCGGATCTTGCTGTCACACAATGAAGACAGAAGGGAGTGTGACAACAAAAAGTAATCAAGGCGCCAGCCGACATTCTTAGCCCGAGCATTCATCATGTAAGTCCAAAAGGTATAGGCATAGGGGGTGTTGGGGTACAGGTGCCGGAAGCTGTCGGCCAGCGGCACAGCCTGTAGCAACTCCCCAAAGCCTTGGCGCTCCTGGGGAGTAAAGCCAGCGTTCTTCTTGTTTCCTTTGGGGTTTCGAAGGTCAATTTCTTCATGAGCCACATTGAGATCCCCACACAGCACAAGAGGCTTTCTGGAAGCCAAGTCCTTCAGAAACTTGCAGAAGGCTTCATCCCAGCGCTGTCGGTACTCCAGCCTTACCAGGCCCCTGCCTGCATTGGGAACATAGGCTGTTACCAGGACAAAGGAGTCAAATTCTGCCACAATCACCCGACCTTCTTGATCATGCTCTTCCTCACCTACAGAAAAGAAAACCAGCATAAAATTAAAAACAAAACAAAGTTAACCGGCTGAAGAACACTCAGACATAAAAGTCAAGTCTCACCAATGCCGTAGGAGACTTTGAGCGGGCACTGGCGGGAAAGTAAGCCCACACCACTATAGCCTTCTTTGTCTGATGGGGCCGACCAGTACTGGTGGCTGAGGCCAGGCAGGTCCTGCAGTTCTGCCGGGAGTTTGTTCTCTGAGCATTTGGTTTCTTGAAGGCACAAGATATCTGGTGCTTCTTCCTTTACCCACTGAATGAAACATGAAAAGTTACAATCTTACGTGTTACATACTACATACACACACAGGACAGAGTCCCCATACACAAGGAACTCAATCAAGCAGCAGGATATGTGTAAATCATGTGATTTTTCAGGGTATGTGTATGTTTGAATGCCCGTGAGCCATTTGACTTGGGTGCTAGAAACCTAATTCAGAGCCTCCGGAAGTAGAGCAAAATGCTCCAGCCCCTCCCCCACTTAGATCTTTAGTAGTTATTGGAATTGAGGATGCCAGGGAGACTCAGGTTTTTTTTTAAAACTCCAATATCCCAGCGACTAGTTAAAAAGAATATGACAGGAGAGGGAACTGGGATTGAAATGTGAAGCAAGCTTATTTCTAATAAAAAAAATGAAACAAGGTGATTGGGATTGAAGGAGGGTATTTCTCGTCCTCCCAACTGCAGTCAAGAAAAAAACAAAGCATCCTCTGGGCTCACAGGAAACGAGTTTTTTTTGTTTTTTGAGACAGGGTTTCTGTGTAGTCCTGGCTATCCTGGAACTTGCACTGTAGACCAGGCTGGTATAGAAACTCACAGAGATCCGCCTGTCTCGGCTGAGATTAAAGGCGTGCGCCACCACCGCCCGGGGCTACAAAAGAATTCTTTCGTCTGTCAAGGAAAGTCTCCTTCCCTCCCGAATTGTACTCACATCCAAACCTTTCTTCTTAATCCAGGCTCGAAGCCCATCCACATTCCACGAGCATATCTTGAGTGTGGCATGTTTGCCACTGGGTGAGACCTTATTATCTGGAGCGTCCTCATACAGGAAGGGGCCCTCTCCTGCGGCCTCCTCGTTTTTCTTTGCAGCTCCTTTACTCTTCTTGGTCTCTGGCTCTATAAAATGAGTTAAGTCAGAGCTAGGGGTTTCCAACCTCTACCCCACCAGACGCTCTAGTCACCCTAACTTCTCGGTACTCCTGGCAACGTAACTTGGTCCACATGTAGCGTAGCGCATGGTGGGCTAGCAGAGTCCTAAACTTGCCGGGGTTGGGGGAGGGGGTGGCCCACGCGCTCATTTCACCCCCTTACCGGACTTGGGTTCTTTCCCGTCTTCTGCCGCCGCCTTCTTCCCACGCTTTGGCATCCCTGTGGCGAAAGCCCTTAGGCGCCCGGAGCACCGGAGCAGTGTTTACTGAGTTGCCTACAGATAAGAAACGGCGAGATCAAAACACAAGGAGAGGAAGCGAGCCTCCCCGAGCTCAGGCGCTCGCACGCGGGGTGGGGCGGGGGGTGCAATCGGTCACCCAGTCTTCCTCGCCACGTGCACCCCAGCCCCGCGGCCCCGTTAGGCCCTAGTGCGAGCAGGGCCGCCCCACCAGCGAGCACAAGCTACCGGACCCACCAGCGAAGCCAGGGAGCCGCTCGCAGCACAAAGACCGCAGCGCGCCCGTTCCCACGTGGGAGCTTGGCGCGGTCACGTGACCCGAGGTCGCCCTCCCCGCCCACGTGGATGCGGAGCCCTGTGATTGGTCCGCCTGGCACCTCGTGACGTCATTCAGGGCGCCCGAAGGCCCGGTCGCTCGGTTGTGGGCTGTTCGCGGTGCCGCCGGTTCCGCCTCGTCCTGCCGTCCGCGGCTTCCCGGGCCGGCGCGCACCATGCCCGCGGTGCTGGGGTTCGAAGGCAGCGCCAACAAGATCGGCGTGGGCGTGGTGCGGGACGGCACGGTGCTGGCGAACCCGCGGCGCACCTACGTCACGGCCCCGGGCACCGGTGAGTGGCTGCGGCCCGGGCTGCTGGGCTTCGTGCCGTTTCCCGGGATTCTGTGCCGCTGCCTGCCCCAGCTTCCCGGGTGTTGCTGCTGAGCCTTGCGCCCGGGTTCCCTGTTACGAAACCTTGAGTCGCGTCCGGGTGGTAACTCTTTGACGGCTAGAAGTGTCGCAGTCGTACAAGTATCCCAGTGCACACGGACGTCGTGGGTTCCTTCGGGTTTTTTGTTTTGTTTTTGAGACAGGGTCTCACTATGTAACCCTGGAACTTGCTGCGTAGACCAGGCCGGTCTCGAACTCAGGGAGATCCGTCTGCCTCTGCCTCCTGAGTGCTGGGATTAAAGGGTGTGAGCCACTGTGCCCGGTTGTATTCAGGTTATTGAGCCCCTTTTATGTGCTGAACATTCGAAAATAAAGTGTTGTGAGACTGCGCTATAGTCGCACAAACAGATTGCTTTACGCTGTAATTGTTTAAAATGAGAAAGGACGGCAGAACAGATATCAGAAGTTACTGTGTCTTCAATGGTTTAGGTGTCTTTTTCATTACATTTAGAACGGAGGTGGGTATCAGTGGGTTTTGAGAGCTATGTGAAAGCACCGGACACCGCACAATTCTCAATTACGATTATTTACACACACACACAAGCTGCATGGACCTGTAAAAACTCTCCCAACAGGTGTGATGTTTCAGGTTACATAGCAGAAATACTTGTGTGTTTGGGACTCCCTCTTTTAGGCACTGGTTCTGAGTTGCTTTAAAGGGGGAGCTACAGTCGTACTGCTGCGGTTACTATGTATTAAGTCCAACAAGATGACCTTGTCCAGGGTTCGTTGGGATCACAGTCAGTCACTGAAGAGTAGGAGGCGTGGATAAGTTGAATCGATTCTGAAGACTGCATGTGAACATGTGCATCTCTGGAACCTAAGTAGCCCGTCTAGAGGTTGGGAAGAAAGCTGAGTCATGGTACAGTCTGTGATCATGGCACTCGGGAGGCTGAGACAAGAGGGTTTGAGTTTAAGGTCACCCTGGGCTATGTGGGACCTTGTCTCAAAATTGGGGGCTTGCAAAGACGGTATCTTAAAACCTAGGCCAATGAAGGGATTTTTTTTTCTAAACCGTTAAAACATCTTTTTGTTGATTTTTATTTTCTTTTTTACTTCTAATAGGTCATTTTAATGTGTGCTTATCACGTTTTGGTTTGGGGTGAGGGATTTTTTTTATAATGACATTACTTGCTGTTTATTTATATTTATCTTAGACTATGGAAATGATGTTAGACAAAAAGTAAAAGTAAAGTCAGATGGGCTAATCAAACCTGTAATCTGCCAGTACTCCGTGAGGCAGAAGCAGGCGGATCTCTGAATTTGGGGCCAGCCTGGTCTATATAGCAAGTTCCAGGCCAGCCAGGGCTACATTGTAAAACCCTGTCTCAAAATAAATAATAAAAAGAGGGTTGAACAATTACTTTGAGTTCCAAATGCTGGGGGTGGGGGTGAGTCGGTAGGAATAGTGGACACATCGTAAAACATCAAGGATACATCACGCTTTGGCCCCTGGAACTGCTAAGGAACAGGACCTCGGCTGTTGAAGAGCTTGCGGAGATGACTGGCTGCTAGAACTTGACCATGACCCATTTATTGTGAGCAGCCGTGGAAGCCGATCTTGCAGCAACAGAGAAACTTGCCAAAGAACTCTGTGTGTAGCATGCAGTGAGCGTTGGCTATTTGAAGTCAGCTGGAAAGTTTTAAATAAAAGACTCAGGCAGTTGATGCCTCAGGAACTGAAAAAATCGAAGCAGCCATTGTCTTCAGCTCTCGTCCACCAGCCATCTCTCAACCAGATTGTGACAATGACAAGATGTGTCTTGTGTGAAAAACTGGCCGCAACCAGCCTGGTGGCCTCGAAACACTTCCCACAGCCAAACTTTCACCAAAAGAGCTCCCAGTCACCGGTGGTGTGCTGGCGCCCTGACCCACTGTAGCTTTGTAAGTCCCGGTGAGCCCATCATATCTGAGACCTTCGCTCAGCAGATCACTGGGATGCTGGCCCTGCGGGCGTCTCCTCAGTTCAGAACAGTGCGCACTGCGTGTGGCCTGACCAGTGCTTCAAGAGCGGAAGGAATGGGACGACCCCAGCTGCTTCAGCATCTGGACAACCAGCAGGCTGCACAAGGGCCTTTCTGAGAGAGAGCTGAAGCATGGGCTTGCTTTGGGGAGTAGACAAACTAGTTTCAGGTTTTTTTTTTTTTTGGTCTTGTTTTTTGCTATTTTGTTATTGTTTGCGTGGTTTTTTTTTTCTTTCTTTTTTTTGGGGGGGTTGAGACAGGGTTTCTCTGTGGCTTTCGAGGCTGTTCTGGTATGCAGAGTGAGTGCCAGAATAGGCTCTCACAGAAACGTTGTCTCTAAAAAAAAAAAAAAAAGTTCCTGTTTTGATGAAATGTTTGAACCCAGTTATAATGGTTTAACATTTATAGACCCATGTCACAGCTCCCTTTGCGCCAACCCAATACCTACCTTGTTCCCGTCTTGATCTGGGTGCCTTTCCTCAGGGTTCCTTCCAGGTGACACGGCCCGGCACCATCGAGCTGTCATCCTAGACCTCCTGCAAGAGGCCCTGACAGAGGCTGGGTTAACCTCCCAGGACATTGACTGCATCGCCTACACCAAAGGTAAGTCTGGGAGAGCGGTCGGCAGGGGAGGAAGTGTGTGCGGGGCCACAGCTGCCCGCATTGCATTCTCCAGTCTGCTTTCTTCACCTGCTCTTCCTAACGCCGAGCACTCTGATCCCATCTGTTAGGTCCTGGAATGGGAGCCCCGCTGGCCTCTGTAGCTGTGGTCGCTCGCACTGTGGCGCAGCTGTGGAATAAGCCTTTGGTGGCTGTGAACCACTGCATAGGTCACATTGAAATGGGCCGCCTCATCACCGGAGCCGTAAGCCCGACTGTTCTGTATGTCAGCGGAGGAAATACTCAGGTATTTACAGTAGTCTTTGTGTTCCGTCGTGCTTCTGAGGTATTCCACCTCAGTCGTAGGAGCTGCAAAGACAAGGCCCGGGCTCTGGACCTAAGACACTGTAGACAACACAACAAGTGTAGAGTTGCAGGGTTTGGAGGAGAATTAAAATGTTAGAACTTCACACGTGCAACTAAGTTTAAAAAGGAAGGAATGTGGATTTAACCCTTCAAGATAATGTCTTTTTTTGTTTGTATGTTTGTTTTAATGTGTGTAGGAGCCCAAGGATGATCAGAGGTCCTCAGATCTGGGGAACTGGAGTTTAAAAATAGACAGCTGTGAGCCACCACATGGGTGCTGGGAATTGAACGCAGGTCCTTTGGAAGAGCAGTCAGTGCTTTGCCGGTTGGGCCATCTCTTTAATCCCACAGATAATTTTTCTTCATGTATCCACCCACTCAGTTCCTTTTCTGACAATCAGACTCCAGATAACCCAGCCCCAGACTCACCCGCCCTCCTCAGCCCCCGTAGCTGGGATCAGCAGCCTTCCATTCTTGTTGTTTCATGATCTTGTGACAAGGCCTCACCGTGGCAGACAGGCTTTCCCTGCCTTGTCTTGATCTTCCTAACTCCCTCCAAGTGCCGAGATTACTCTTTGTTACTTACGGAATATCTGTGTGGATCGCCACAAAAAGCTCCGGTTTGGCTTTGTTTTAAATTCTTATTTTTAGGGTTTCCTTTTGGTGTGTCTGTCTGTCTGTGGTTTCTGTTTGTTTGTTAGGATAAATACTATGGGATGTTTCATGAGCTTGTGTAGTCTTTGCACGGGCCTTGCTAATCTTCTCTGCATCGTTACAATTTTAGTATGTGCTACAAAGTAAGCACTGATTTGTTAGTTCTTTGAAATTAGCATTGTTGTTGTTTGCCAACTTCATACATATATTTAATATCTTGGTCATATTTGGGCTCGTTTTGTATGTGTATGTGGACGTGTGTGTGTGTGTGTGTGTGTGTGTGTGTGTGTGTGTGTGTGTATGCGTGTGTGTCAGGAAACAACCTTCAGGAGTCGACCTTTATTATATGTGGGTTGCAGGAGTCAAACTCAGGTCTCTAGGCTCACATGGCAAGTGTTTTGACTTACTGGGCCATTTCACCAGCTCCTGGATTGGTTTGGTTTTCTTGAGACAGGGTCTCGCCGTGTGTCTAGGCTGGCATTAGACTTCACTGCATAGCCACTGTAGACAACTTCCCTTTCTTACTGGAATGTCTTGTGTTGGCAATATGCCACTTTCTGTCACATAGCGAAACACTTTAAGTTTCATGGGCATTCTCGTCATTCCTAGGTGATATCCTACTCAGAACATCGCTACCGCATCTTTGGGGAAACTATTGATATTGCTGTGGGAAATTGTCTGGATCGTTTTGCTAGAGTGCTGAAGGTAAGCCATTGATGTCGGTCTGGGGAACAAAAAGAAATAAGAGGCAGGAAGTAGTATTTTTAGATTTTGGGCTTCTTGCAAATCTAACTTCCTTCTCTGCCACTTTATGTATCCGTAACTTATTATGAACATGTTTGTTCTTCTATATGTGTACAATTTATAAAAATATATACTGGCCGGGCGTTGGTGACGCATGCCTTTAATCCCAGCACTCGGGAGGCAGAGGCAGGCGGATCTCTGTGAGTTCGAGGCCAGCCTGGTCTACCGAGGGAGTTCCAGGACAGGCTCCAAAACAATACAGAGAAACCCTGTCTCGAAAAACAAAACAAAAAACAAAAAAAAAAACCAAAAAAAAAATATATATATATGTATATTGACTGCTTTTCCTCACCTTGATTTGGGGAGGAATCCCAGAGTGCTAAGTCCATTCACGTGTGTAGAAGAGTGCATTGTACACAGTGCATTCCTGGCTCTCTGCTTCTCTCTCCTTCCGGTAGATTTCCAATGACCCAAGTCCCGGCTACAACATTGAGCAGATGGCAAAGAGGTAAGAGGATGTATGGAGCGCCTGGCCCGCGGCTGGGCTCTAGAGCCTTCTGTCTGCATGCCAGTGAGGCGTGGGAGGGGCGTTGGAGGCGAGCAGCCAGCTGACTCCAGGTTTAGTGCCTTTATTCATTTCTACGTAGAGGCGAGAAGCTAGTTGAGCTGCCATACACAGTAAAGGGGATGGATGTCTCGTTCTCAGGGATTCTGTCCTTCATCGAGGTGAGTGTGAGAGCGGTAACCAGACGGGAGCACGTCCCTGCTTCTGAAGGTGGTGTGTCCCCTGTGCTCACTGCTCACTCCCGCATAAGCATTCACTCACAATGGTGCTGGGTGGATCACAATGGTGCTGGGTAGATCACAATGGTGCTGGGTGGATCACAATGGTGCTGGGTGGATCACAATGGTGCTGGGTGGATCACAATGGTGCTATTCTAACAATAGGGACGCGGTGTAGGGAAGGTGGTTCCTTCCTGCGTGGGCAAAGGGCCTGAAAATAAGAACAGTCAGAAGACGACGAGTGGCGCGGGGTGTGGCACTCCTAGAATGTCGGTCGTAAGGAAGTCAGCTGTGCTCCCAAGCGCAGGGATCTTTGTTCTCACGAAAGCCGCATGCCGGGCACTCATCTCTTGGGTTGCTCTCCCCCCCTCTAATTGCAGGATGCAGCGCAGAGAATGCTGGCCACAGGGGAGTGCACCCCTGAGGACCTGTGCTTCTCTTTACAGGTAAAAGAGGGAAAAGCTGGGATGCAAAACTCTCTCGAGTGGAGCTGGGCTGAGGTGGGGTGCTGCTCTGATGCCCCCCTCCCCCGTCTTCCACAGGAAACCGTGTTTGCAATGCTAGTGGAGATCACAGAGCGGGCCATGGCACACTGTGGCTCCAAGGAAGCCCTCATCGTAGGAGGAGTTGGATGTATGTGTCACCGGGCAGCGCGCCTTCCTCCTAGTCCTGATAGCCATCTTCCCGAAGCGCTACATTACCAGAGTTTGGAGGGTTACCTGTTCCATCTCTTCCCCGGTCTCCTGGTAACCTGTCCTGGGAGCACAGCTGGTTTGATAGCGAAACGGCCAAGCCTGAGTTCCCTGTGGTTCCTGTCTCTTCCTAGGTAACACGAGGCTGCAGGAGATGATGGCAGCCATGTGCCAGGAGCGGGGAGCCCAGCTCTTTGCCACAGATGAGAGGTGAAGCCTCCTCCTTGTCTCAAGTTCTCCTGGTCCCTTATCAGGCTTTTCTGTGTGTAGGCCACGAGCCTTGTTGTCACTTCTTCCCCAGATTCTGCATTGACAATGGGGCCATGATAGCCCAGGCAGGTTGGGAGATGTTTCAAGCCGGACACAGGACCCCTCTCAGAGAGTCTGGGATTACACAGAGGTGAGTGACGCCTCCTCTGAGAGTAGATGGTAGGTACAGGAGACAGGTAAAAATTAACCGCTGCGAAAGTCAGAGAACAGACAATGCGGTGGGTGATGGGGTTGGTCGGCGTGTACCTGCAGTCCCAATATGTGGTGCAAGGCAGGAGGATTGCTATTTTGAGATAAGCCTGGGTTACAGATGCTGTCTCAAAAGACAAACCAAAACAGTGCAAACAGGGTCTTCCTGCTTCTCCACAGGTACAGGACAGACGAGGTAGAGGTGACGTGGAGGGACTAGCGACGTTTACACAGCAGAACAGCTTGCCGCGTGGGCGCTGCTGTGGGGGTGTCCTGGTGATATTATGGACTCTTCTCTGGCAAGTGTGTGGACCCCACACAAGACTTAGGGTTCCTATGGAACCCCAACATGACTCTGAAATAAAGAAATTGTTTTTACACGTTGACAACTGGGTTGAGTTTTTCAGGACCAATACACAGCGTGAGTGCTGGGTAAATTCTTACGGTGAGGTCAGTGGACAAGCCAGTGGGGGTCAGAGTAGCACTTGTTGATGGTGCAGATAGTTTTGATGACTGCCACTTGGAGACAGCCGTGAGTGCTGTCCTACCGTCCCATTAACAACAGTATCCTGCCGGGCGTAGGTGGTGCACGCCTTTAATCCCAGCACTTGGGAGGCAGAGGCAGGTGGATCTCTGTGAGTTCGAGACCAGCCTGGTCTACAAGAGTTAGTTCCAGGACAGGCTCCAAAACAATACAGAGAAACCCTGTCTCAAAAAACCAAAAACAAAAACAAAAACAAAAAAAAGCAACAGTATCCTAATTAGGAGTATTCTGGGATGCCCTGTGCTGAGTGAGTGCTCTACACTTAACGAATTGCGTTCACATTCATTGAAGTGTATATTCAGGATAACTTTACTAAAACTCCTGTCCTTCATAAACTTTACTTAATGTACTCCTACAAACACCTTCACTGGCCGATATCGGGGAGGCATCCCAGATAAACACCTCAGCACCAATACAAGCATCAGAACTACAGAATTATGTCATATATATTGCCACAAGAGGCCCTGAACTACCAAGCTCCTCTCTCAGCCTCTGGCAGCCATGTGCCTTTCCATCTTTTTTGTGGGGGGGGGCTCCCACTTCCAGACTCCTTGTAAAATCAGCCATTTGTAAAATCCATATATCCTCGCCCTCTTGTTCAAATGCTTTCTTCACGGCGTTGCTCTGAGGCCTGGATTTTTGGAAAGACTGCTTTTTTTTTTTTTTTTGGTTTTTCGATTCAGGGTTTCTCTGTGGCTTTGGAGGCTGTCCTGGAACTCGCTCTGTAGTCCAGGCTGGTCTCGAATTTACAGAGATCCGCCTGCCTCTGCCTCCCGAGTGCTAGGATTAAAGGCTTGCGCCACCAACGCCCGGCTTGGAAAGACTGCTTCTATTAACGCCCGGTAGGGAGTCTTTCACATCCACGTGCCACTGGGCATGGAGTTGGTGCACACACCCTCTGCTCCTCATCTTTCTTTCCCTCCTCTGCCTTTTTGAGACAGGGTCTCTGTAGCCCTGGCCGGTTTGGAGTTTGATACGTGGACTAGACTGGCCTCAAACCCTCAGAGTCTGCCCCCGCCTCCTGAGTGCCGGGAGAAAGGCGTGCACCGCCACGCCCCACCTCTTGCAACACACTGTCCCGTGTCACAGTCCCATCCCATGCTTCTGCTGTTCTCTGGCTCCTCGGGTTAGTATGCGGAATTCCTCCCGCTTCCGGGACCTGCAACCCTTTGACCCTACTTCCTTTCCTCAGTTAAATTCCTCGTTGCAGATGCTCAGGCTGGCCTTGAACAAACTAGTGCAGGATGACTCCTCCGTGTCGGCCTCCCAAGCGTTGGGTTACAGGCGCACCTCACCACACCCACTTTGTACAGCGCAGGGCCTGAATCCAGAGGTCTGGCAGGAGCTGCGTTCCCAGCCCCATTCTGCTTCCTGCTTTATACCCACGTCTGTGCAGCCGAAAGTGCAAGTGCAACCTGCCCGCACAGGCTGATCACAATGATACTGAAGGCGGTCCTCCCGGCCCCGCACAGGTTGATCACAATGATACTGAAGGCCGTCCTCCCGGCCCCGCACAGGTTGATCACAATGATACTGAAGGCGGTCCTCTCACCCCGCACAGGCTGATCACAATGATACTGAAGGCGGTCCTCCCAGCCCCGCACAGGTTGATGGATCACAATGATACTGAAGGCCGTCCTCTCACCCCGCACAGGCTGATCACAATGATACTGAAGGCGGTCCTCCCCACCCGCCCCTCGTTGTCTTCCTGGCCTTCTCACTCGCTGTCGTTGATAACTTCCCTATCTTTTAATCCTCAGCATACCTCTCTCTGTCCATATTACCCTTGTCTCTTAGTTTCCTTCCAACTACTTCTTACGTATATATTTCAACGTTTTTAAGTATTTTAGTAAGTTAAGTAAGTTACTGTGCTGCTGTAAAGAGACGGTGCACTGTGACCAGAGGAAAGCATTTAATTGATGTTCTCTATTCCTAAGGGTGATAGAGTCCGCGACTGTCACGGCAGGGACCCCTAGCTGAGAGCTTGCATACTGATCTACAACTTAGAGAGCTAGCTGGGAATAGTGTGGGCTTCTGCAACCTCAAAGCCCACCCCCAGTGACACACCTCCCAGTCTTTTCCGAACAGTTCCACCAGCTGGGGACCAAGCATTCAGATGTGTGATCGCGTGGGGGCCATGCTCACTCAGACCACACCTTTACCAAGTTCACACCTCATACCGAACACCTAGCGTTTCTGTCCTGGCACCACAAGCCGGAGGTTCCCAGCCAGGTCTGATTTTATCCTAGGAAGACAAAATGAAGATGCTACTAAAGAGAAGCCAAGGAGGGGCCGGAGAGATGGCTCAGCCGGAAAGGGCACTGGCAGAGGACGATTTGAGTTCGATTCCCAGCAGCCAGGTGTCAGCTCACAATTGTCTGTAACTTTAGTTCCAACGAATCTGATGCTTTCTGACCTCAGGCCCCAAGCACAGACATGAGGCAAAACACCCATACACGCGAAATAAAAATAAGCCTAAAAGGAGAAGCCGAGGATGCCAGACAGTACCCTGCGGTCTATAGCAAAGCTCTACAAACAAAGCTCTATGCAAAAATATCATTGGTATCAAGGTTGGAAGACTGCTCCACACACAGCCCATACTCCTACCCTTGGATGTAAAGCAGGTCTTGCCTTCTGGAAGAAAAAATGTGGTTTGGTTTTACTTCTGGTTTTTATAGAACTCTATGGAGTACCATTATACAGTTGCTTGACTTAGGCAGTTCTGAGCTATGTCCTTATTGCTAAACAGCCATCCAACAGGTGTCACTGAGTGTGTGAGCTACGTCCTTATTACTAAACAGCCACCCAACAGGTGTCACTGAGTGTGAGTGAGTTGACGGGACAACTGTACTTCACAGCTCAACTTAAAAGAGTTGCCTCCACTTTCTTTCTGAATCCTCTATTAAGATCTCTTCTGCGGCTGAGGATGGAGCTTAGGGTGTAAAATGCTTGCCTAATACAAAGCCCTACAGTGGCAATGCACACCTCGAACCCGGGGACTCTGCAGGTGGAGGCAGGAAGATGAGTATTCCAAGGTCATCTAGGCACATGAGTCCAAGGTTCTGTGAGACCCTATCCCAAAAAAACAAAAAGAATGCTCTCGGGAGGCAGAGCCAGGTGGATCTCTGAGTTCAAGGCCAGCCTGGTCTATAGAGCAAGTTTCAGGATAGCCAGGACTACACAGAGACACTTTGTCTCAAAACAAAAAAAAACCCCAAATAAAATTATCCCAGCAGAGTTGTTCTTCCCGGGGTCGCTAATGAGTTGGTCACAGATCTAAGGGTAGGTTCTGGTTCATGTGTGAGTCTGCCTGAAGCCTTTGACACTTGCTCTTTGAAACGGCTTTAGACTTTGCTGTCTGTTTTCTAGCTGGCGGTTCTTTATCTCCTTTGCTGTTTCTCATTTCACGCTGAGAACCCCAGGTCACCTGACTCCCATTCACACCTGTGCCCCGATGGTGCCGTCTCCAGCCAGCCCTCTCCAGGAAAACCAACTTCAGATGCTTTGCCTGTGGCATCCAAGAGACCAACGGACCCTGTTTTGGTGTGTTCTGGAATTGTGCCTCAACTACAGTTAAGTGTGCTTGCTTTTGAAGTGGGGAATGGTTCCAGGTTAGAGTTTATGTTTCTGAACATGACAGCTAATTTCAGAACAATGGGAAGACAATTTCAAATTTCCCTACTTTTCAGTTGGTGTGTGTGTGTGTTTCAAGACAATGCATTCACAGAGATCTGCCTGACTTTGCCTTTCTGAGTGCTGGGATCAGAGGTGTGTGCCACCACCAGGTTATAACTAGTGACAGTCTGGCTATGTATAAAAGGAAGCACCGATTCTTGGTCCCCTAAGAGGAAGTTCAGGGCTAACAGACACATTCTTGAAGGCTTGTGTTGTTTATACTAGAGTGCTGAAGTTGTTTTAAATGGTACTTAGCGTTGGGTAAACATAAAGAATATAAAATAGAGATTAATTTGCAAACTGGGATTTTTGGTTTTCTGTTTTAAGACAGTGTTTTTATGTTTTAAAATTTAACTTTAGTCATGAAATGTTAGAAAATGTTTTAGCACATTGAGGTTTACAGTTACTAGGGACTATGTTACTTTACATTTAACACTGAGAATTCTTCCCCTAGCAAGTTACTAAGGGAAAGCCTGTGAAATACGCTAAGAAGTTGGTGTTCAAATTATTTATGTCGTTATCAATTTCTGGGTTGACTTGTTTGTTCAAGTAGTTTCCACTGTAGATTTGGCCTGTAAATTGGATCTGAGGAAAATAGTTCTGAATGTCAACAACACAGAATATGACCCAAAGGTAAGATTCCTCAGGGTCCCTTCCAACCACACATCCTAAGGTTTTTTTTCCATTGTAGGATTATGACATCGGCCCATTTCCTTTTTTTTTTCTTTTTATTTATTCTTCTCTCATATACTTTCTTATTGTCTAAAAACAAATTTTCAGATAACAGCTTTGTTAACTCAGAAGGTTAACTATCTCATTTTTTATTTTGAAGTTATAAAAACATTCATCCTTAGTGCTGAATAAAGCAATGATTGAACAATCCTAAAACTAGATTTTTCCTGTCATTCAAAAGTCTTTTCATGGTGCCTAGTTTCAGTCCAGTAGAACACTAGCTTTCTTGAATTGCCATCATAGCTGTAGAAACACTGTTTGTTTTTGATTTTTTTAAAGACAAGGTCTTGCTATATATCCCAGGCTAGACTTCAGCATGGCATTCTCCTGCCTCATCCTCCCAAGGGCTGGGATTACAAGTCTGTGTCACCAATGCCGCCTGATTTTTCTAAATGCTATCCCACATAGCTGACACTTGCATATTTTCCCATTTAC